GTAACAGTAATTCTTCCAGAAGTAAAAAGAAAAACACACTGGCCAGCAGTTATCTTGTTGCAAAGCACATCAAAACAAACTCAAACATATAAGTGTTTAACAGAGCATTGAAAATGCAGTACAGAAAATCAGCAATTCTAGGAAGGCTAATAAGAGCAACTCTAGGCAGACTAATAAATAGCCAAGAACAACTTCATCTATTTTGCCCACATTAGCCATCCTGATAAAATTACATCCACTATCTTTTATGTGATCCAAGGACTAACTGACAAGGAATTTCTTCTTGGAAGCTTTAATGTCACTCAGTTTATGGGAAACTGTATGCTGTTTTTATGTCTTTATTACTTGTTGGGTTACTTTCCATAAGCTACTCAAATATTAGCTACGTTTCAGGTCCTTTTAGCACTCCAAAATGGAGAGCAGACCTTGCTTTTCTCATTGCCTTCAGTAGCTGACCGGGTTCCCTATTTGCCTAAAGAAAGAAAGGTGGAGTGAGCAAGAGAGAAAGTACATGATGCTATGATTATATGGTGCTATGATTTTGTCATTGTGAGCGGGATGTGGATTTGTTATTTATGTTATTGCTATTTGTTATTTATGAGTAGCATATTGCTTCTTTTTGGAGGGACAAATCTTGTAAACTCCTTCACAACCACAGAGAATCTAAACCAATTGAAATGTTTTGATCCTGCAATAAAAAGATTTCACAATTGTATTCAGGGATTGTAGCATTAAAGAATTGTATTATGCTTGGTTCAAGGGTGTCTCTGAGTTTAATCCATTTTAGCAAATGATACAGGATTTCAGGATAGCCAAAGGAATTATCTGCCAACAATTCTTTCCTGAGAAATAGGCCATTTTGTGCTACGTTGAAGTGAATTTTATCACCATTTGTCTTTATGGATCTCCCCAGTTCACCACCTGGAAAATGTATGTGTTCAAGCCAGGATATGCCCTTCACCAAATAGGGCTATTGCATGCACAGGCAAAACTAGTAGGGTCTGCACTCTGGGAAGCAGTGGTGGCAGGGGCTGGGCCAGGTGCAGCAGCAGCAGCAGCAGTGGCTGGCCCAGCTGAGGCAGCAGCTACTATTCTTGCATCCCCTTCAAGTAGATACCAGGGGCTGGTACCCCAGTCACCCACTCCTTGTTATGCAACTGATTACCTGACACTTCTAAAGTCAGATCACAACAATAAACCAAAGCCTTACTTGAACACTGACAGACTCAGTGCCCAATGGCACAATGATCCTCAGAAAAATTCCCCTTCTACAACTTCTTGCAAGGTGTCATTTGCTGTCATAAGCCTCCATCCGCCCCCCAGGTGGAAGCAGGAAGGGGGTAGTAGGAATTAATTCATTTTCTTTGGATTCAGTCACTGATACTCAAGCAGAACCCATAAAATATCTTAAATAAAGTTCTGAAAAAAACAACATTTAAATAAAATGATGTTAATATGGAAATATGTTTACAGAGATACATTCATCTTTCAAGTCAGTGGTTGATTAGGGGCCAGATCCTTCTGTAGTATAAGCATGTGAAACTCCATCCCATAGAGTTGAATCTATTTCCATCAGGTCTGAATTTGCCCCTACATGTTTAGTAAAGTCCTTGCCCAAATAGTTTTATGAATGGTGACAGTAATGGAACAGAGTTCATATGCATAAGCAAATGCACCAAACTAAAAGAGGAAGGAAAATGTCTCAATTCATTTTGCTGTCATATGTCATTGATAAAAACTTGGAAGGTATATTTATATCTGATGACGCAAGTCTATCCAATTTCTTGCATTATTTAGGTCAGGTCATTCACTCAGGTAGTTACTGTAGAACAAGCTGCGTGTGAAGAATAGCATTTAGTTGATAACCAAAATGTTCAGCAATAGCCTGTGAACTGTGAAATTACATTCAGCGCTGGGGGGAAAAGTTACTTCTTACACAAGACAAAATAAAACAAAACAAAAAATCTATTACTAACAATCATCAGGGAGTCACTGCTTCCAAAACTAGGATTGATTTTCTGATCTTGGTGGATGTCTGAAAATACAGCACTTGCCAAATGGTTTCAGCATCTAGGATATGAAATACATGTATTGATAACTCTGTCAGGGTGGAGATATTCTGCTGGAGAAGAGACTGCTAAGTGGCTTATCTGGATTAGGATTTAAAGGTGCAATGTTAGAATCTATCGGCTAATACATTAAGTAATACATCTGAAAAACAGGAAACACAGCATATATTGAGGTGGTTAAATTAAAACGTAGGCACCCTTTAGGCTTGTTGTGTTAAAAGCTACATGCCTTGTCTACACTAGATTTTTCAAACACACTGAAACATGCTCATGTTGTAGCGGTGCATTTTTTTCCTCTCAAGGTATATCATCTGAGTGCACACTAACCTGACAAATTCCATACCATTACAGTTGCAGAACACTGGTGGTGCCTTTTTGTCTTCTGCTCTTTACCTATGATTCGTTATAGGATTTTTTTGCCTTCACGGGTACTTGGTGGCTGTGGTACTTGAAAAAGTTCAGAGCGGACTATCATGTGGGTACTTTTGGCAAATGGGAACACAGGGAATCACACTTGATGGTCCAGAAATCCCCTTTCTGTCCTGTCTCCATACTTGCTTACCTCTGAGGGCAGAACCTTCTGGTGGTAGACAGCAGCCACAACCATCAAGCCCCAGGGCAAAAGCAGACCCATACACTTTTGACAGCTCTCTGCAACTGAACTCAGTAACTGAACTGCCAGAACACAAACTGCCATCTGTGAAAGGGCCACAGAAGCTAGCTAAAAGCACAGAAGATGCCGAATAGAAAAGAGGATAGTGCCACCAGGGAAGATGGATGACAATGATTTAATAATATCTAACATTTTGGTCACACATTGCATATGCAAGCTCACAAAAAAGTTAAAAAACGTAAAATCATGTGCTTCATTGGGATGCAGTTAAGTAGATAATTGTACCTTCGCGGGGCCACAGGCACTGACAAGACAGCACACTAAGACAGTTTTAAATGTGCAAAACCAGGGGTGGCCAATCTGCTGCATGTGTGCCACAAGTGGTATAAGGCAGCCTGCACGTGTGACATGCAGTAGACTGGGGAGGAAGCAGGCAGCACAGGGCAGATAGGGCAGGGAATGGAAAGCAGAGCAGCAGATAGGGCAGGAAGCACAGGACATGGAGCAGAAAGCAGGGTAACAAATAAAGAACATTGCCACAGGTCAGGGAGCAGAAAGCAGAGCAACAGATTGGCAGCGAAGGCCATTCAAGTGGCACTCAGGGAGGTTGCACAGCTTAATTTGTAGCATGCCTACCAAGAGCTGCCCCCCACCTCACCTTCATTGTAGTAAACGATGGCCACAATAGATATTAAGGATAGAATTTAGGATAGCCCACAACTTCCTTGCGCAGCTGGTTTCACCATCTTACTGTTCTTGCAATTAGGAAGGGTTTCTTTTCCCTGGAGATTTAATCTCTATATGTGCTTTGCTGTAAACAGGGCCACAAACAAGTTTCCTTAAAACAAACACAGCGATTTTGAAGATGCCAGCCTTCAGCAGACTAGGCCAAAAAGTGATCTCTTGAAAACCAAAGATTTCTCTCGCTGTCTAGCGCTACACACCAAACAAAAACGAAGTACTCCATGCAGTCCTGTTCCAAGGATGGGGGACGTGTTCTGCAGCAAGTACATTTCCCTCAGTGTTACATGGAAATGCTCTTGATCTCTTCACTGGCTATTACAGCGTCAACGAACCTTGTTTTTCCATCTTATTTATCTTCTCATATCTTACTGATCTTTGCATCTAACCAAGCTATTTTTCAAGTCGTGCCTTTATTTATTGTATCTCACTTTTTATATTATTGTGTCTTCAAGGCCCCTTGACAAACCCCACGGAGGAGCTGAGAGCTGTTTACTGACTGACCGGGTGGTTACATAACCCGGCTGCCTTTTGCTGACTTCTGGGAAAAGGAAAGCGCCACCGAGGTAACAAAAACACCCCGTGCAGGTCATTGGGCTGTTTCCCACCGAGACAGAGGAGACGCCACGTCCCCCCACCTGCGTGATGGATGTTGCGGCTTGGCAGCTGGGCAGCTTGGCTTCTGTGGCACCATTTGTGCTCAGCAGGGAGACATGGGGAGTGGGGGAGCTGCTCTGCTCCCTTGGGGGTGGGCAGCAGATTGGGGGGGCCTGGTCTCAGGGGAGCTGCTCCATTTCTTGGCAAATAAATGCAATCCTAAGAACTGCCATTGACTGGGTCAGCCCCTAGGTCCATCCAGCCCAGCATCCTGTGTCACACGGTGGCAGGCAGTGGAAGCTGACAGGGAAGCCAGCTGGGTCTCAGGAGGCCTTTCCCCACTGCTCCTCTCTCACTTGCAGCCTCCCACACTTAAGGCAAGGCTGCCAGGTCTTAAATCTGAAATTATCTTACTGGGAGCTCAAACTTATCATATCTGCTGAAAAACTATTGTACACTGAAAAACTATGCAATTCGATATGCGAGTAAGCCTTCTTATTTACTTTCTATTGCTCACTGTAACTCGCCAGTGAGAACTGGATCATCCAAGGTTGAAACATTTATTTTGAGGCAAGCGGCTCTCAGAAAGTGCTGACAACAAACCCAAAAGCAGGTTCAGACACTCTGAGAGTGACTTGGGTTTTGCGTATGCTGCATCAATGAGCTGACTCAAAAATTATTCTACGTTTTGAACACTTTTGCTACTATTGATTGTACATCGTACAGAGGTTGAAATTATCGCCCCCTGGCAACGCTGCCTTAAGGTCCTGGGGTCACCTGAGCCCATCGCTTCCTGGGCCGCTCCCGCCCGGCCGGGGGGGGGGAGAGGGGGTTGGCTGCATGACGCACCGCGGGGCGGGGCCGCCTCCCGAACGCAACGCAAAGGGAAGAGGATTGGGCCGAACCGCGCACCGTAGGCCCCGATCGCTTGGTCGCTGGGGAAACCCCGGCCCGGAAGCTTGGGGTCGGGATCCCTTTCTCCTCCTCCTCCTCCTCCCTCCCCTGCCCGGTGCTGCTTCCTCCCCAGCGGAGAGCGCGGAAATGGCGGCTGCCCCGGCGGAGCGGAGCCGCTTTGCGGTGGTGGGAGGCGGGATCGCAGGCGTCACGTGCGCTGAGAGGGTACGTGCTTCCCCCCCCCAGGCTTCATGCGCAGGCTCGGCAGCCCCTTCCCACCGTGCGGGTGGGCGGGGCCGGGCATTGGCTGCACTGAGCCGGGCGCAGGCCGGGTAGGGCGTCGTGGCTGGAGCGGGTCCGCTCCGCGCAGGTGCCTGGCGGCTTGTGCTCACGCAGCCCCCCAGCTCTGCGGGCGGCTCATTCAGGTTCATTGACAGTCATCCCGGGGATAAGCCTGGCCGGCTGCGCGCTCCCCCTGGCAGAGGAGTCGCCGTACCAGTCTAAGGGCAGGCCAGGTTCTTTGGGGGATGTGGTATTTTTTTATTAAACCAACTACATAGTTGGAAAAAATGTCCTTTGCAAGCATTAGGACACGAACACCCTTCTTCAGGCTCAGAGGGCGTTTGTACATGTGCACATGATGACACGCTTTAAAACACCCAACGCTGCATTGGATGCATTTGTATAAATGGCAAAATGCGTGTCAGTGTGCAGAAAATGGCAACAATGCATTTTTGAACTAAAGCACGTCAAAGGTGATATTTGTTCAAAAGCACATCAGCGCCATTTGCTGTGTGCTGACACACATTTCACCATTTATACAGATGTGTGCAGCACAGCATTGGGCACATCGGCTCATGCTCTGCAGACTCAGATTAATCAAGTCTGCTTCAGCCCACTGGATTTCTGGCACATCAGAGCAGAGGAAGGTACATGTATAAATGCCCAGAGTTTGCACTCTCCCTATGCCTGACAAAGGGTGTTTGTACCCGAAAGCTTGCAAAGAACCAATTTTTCCACCAATTTAGTTGGTCAAATAAAAAATATCAACAATGTGGATATAGGTGTCAGAAGTGGACTGGCCAAGTTTGCTGACAACACCCAACTTTGGGGCAGAGTGTCCAGACCGGAGGATAGGTTGGTGATCCAGGCTAACTTGGATAGGCTGAAAAAGTGGGTGGATAAAACCTGATGACATTCAATACCAATAATTGTAAAGTACTCCACCTTGGGAGGGAAAAAAAAAACGCATCATGCTTATAGGCTCAGCAGCCTTACGCTTGCTAGCACCAAGGCTGCAAGGGACTTGGGGGTCATGATTGACCACAAGATGAACATGAGCCACCAGTGTGACGTCACAGCTGGTAAAGCAAACCAAACTCTGGCTTGCAGCCATAGATGCTTCTCAGGTAAATCTCAGGATGTCATTCTCCCACTGTACTCAGCCTTGGTGAGGCCATAGCTGGAGTGCTGCATCCAATTCTGTGCTCCACAATTCAGGAAGGATTTGGAGAAGTTTGAGAGAGTCCAGAGGAGAACCACACGCACAATCAGAGGGCAGGAGAAGAGACCTTATGAAGAGAGGCTGAGAGCCATGGGGCTCTTCAGCCTGGAACAGCACAGGCTCAGGGGAGACCTGGTGGCAGCCTATAAGTATATCGGGTGTGCATCAGGATCTGGGGGAACACCTGTTCACCAGAGCACTCCAAGGGATGACAAGGACCAACTGTCACAAACTTTTCCAAGATCGTTTTGGACTGGACATAAGGAAAAACTTCTTTACTGTCTGAGCCCCCAAAGCCTGGAACAGGTTCCCTCCAGAGGTGGTACAAGCACCTACTCTGGACTCCTTTAAGAAGCGTTTGGACGCTTATCTTGCTGGCATCCTTTTACCCCAGCTGACTTCTTGCCCTTAGGGCAGAGGGCTGGACTCAGATCTCCTAAGGTCCCTTCCAGGCCTAATGTCTGAAATATATATCACATCTACCCAAAGAACCTTGCCTGCCTGTGTTCTTAGACCAGCATGGCTACAACTACAATCTAAGGGCCATGAATGTGGGGGGCCGTGCCGCTGCATGTTCATGGCAGTCGTGACAGATGGCACGTGCAGTTATGGCACCGGTTTTCAGCTGGGGGTGTGAGATCCTTTCAGGGGTGCTGTGCTGTACTAGCACAGTTCCTTTTACACACACGGTTCAGGAGAGAAAACCCAGAGGTTTCCAAGAGTAGTCCCTAGTAGCAGTCTTCCTGCCTTCTTAGCAGAAAAGCTGCTCTGTTATTTTTCTGTAGGCAAAAACAGAGTAAAAAATAAGCTAGCGTTTTACAAGGGCTGCCTCAAGTCTGAAAAAAACCCTGATTTACCACCTGTAGCAATGGCTGATTTGTTAGTTTTCAGATATGTTTGTTTTGAGATCCAGTGCTTTTTTGAATACCCTTCAAGGTAAAACAGGTTTGAACTTGCTCAGCACTAGGCTCTTCTGCCTGAGACACTTACTGTGGAGTAGCTCCACAGTAAGTGGTGTGTGTCTACACGTACAGCACTATTAGGCCAAAGAAAACTCATTAACTGCACCCAGAGTGGTACTTGTAAATACAAGGACTATCCTGCTGCAGTTTTTTACTCTGCAAGCGCTGCATGCGTAGAGGCTGATGTGGCTTGCTGGGGCACAAGGGTGCTTCAGTGCAGGGGCTGCCTGCCAGCTAGCCCTGCACTGGAGCACCCCCATGCCCCAAGCCAGCTCTTCCGCAGCACATTGAGCTAGGTTAAAGCAGTCCTGGGCTGGCAGGCTGACCCCCCACCAGCCAGGGCCCCTGCCAGCCAGTGTTGCTCCAACCCGGCTCAATGTGCTGCAGTCCCAGGCACACATGTAAACACAGTGCCCAGGGAGCAATAAACTCCAGCACAATATGAGCTGGAGGTTATTGCTGCACACTGCTAGCACAGGTAGACATGCCCACTGAAAAGGAGATACAGCTTAACAGACAGTATCCTTCATTTGTTGAGGTGTGGCTTTGCACAACGCTGCAACATCATGATTCTATTTCAGAGGTGGCTGCTCTGTAGTGGAGGCAGGGTTGTACTATTTTATCATTGTAAATGTAATTCCCTCCATCTGAGAGCATCATGAGCTTTTAGGCAGACTCCAAGTTGAATTACTAAAATTAGCATTTATCCTACTTTTAAAAATTCATATAAAGATTTGTAGACAAGGTTCTTCAGGTGAATCTGATATCTTTTATTAGACCAACTTAAATAGTTGGGAAAAACATTTTTAGCAAGATTTTGGGTTTAAAAACCCTGTGTCAAGCTGAGGAAGTCTCTTTTTTTCCCAACTGTTTAAGTTGGTCTAATAAAAGAGATCAGATTCACCCAAAGAACCTTGTCTGCCTATGTCCTTAGACCAGGGGCGGGCAGTTATTTGGGGCAGAGGACTGCCTACTGAGTTTTGGCAAGCCATCGAGGATCACATGACAGGCAGCCCAGAGCAGATAAATGTTAATTTTCTAAATTTTTTAGGGGCCCTGCAGGCTGGATAGAATGGCCTGGCGGGCCGTATCCAGCCCCTGGGCCAAATTTTGCCCCTGCCTTAGACCAACACAGCTACAACCTACACCCCTGTATAAAGACTTATGGTTTTCTACCATGCATACCACCTTTTTTTTTTTTTAAATCAGGGCAGCCCACATTCAGCCCACAAGATGTTAAGTTGTGGCTCCTGGACTCCTTCCACAGCACCCAGAGGCTCCAGGTTCCTCCATCCTCCATCTTCCCTTTCCTCCCTTTGCCTGAGGGGGTAGGACAGTGCAGTGTGCTGCATGGGGAGTTGAGGGTGAGCCTGAGGCTGCATGGGGGATCATACCCACATGGTGCACTGGTTGTTGGGCATACACAGTGCAGTAGTGGAGGGGATGCCCACGTGGGCGCACAGTGCAGAGGTTGGGATAAAGAAAGGGGCTGTATGGCATGCAGCCCGTGGCCCGTGCCTTGCCTGGTGTGGCCCATGTAACATTCAGCCCCCGGGTCATGCAGCCCCCAGGCACTTAGATGCTGGACAACCCTGTTTTATGTCATTATAGTCTCTTTCATGATACTGGCAGAAATCACAGCACCTGAACAAATAACTGGTTCAAACAGGCCTAATGACTTTCAGTATATTTCCAACTTTAAATGAGTATAAGCACAGTTTTTCCTCATTTTAATAGGTGTTATATCTTTTCTGTATGTTTGAAATGTCAGCATCATTAGCAATAATTATGCAATAAAAATTACAAGGAACATTTAGCATCATCATCATCAAATGAAGGAGACTTGTGCATTGTAACTGACAAAAGCATGTGAGCATTGTTAAGATTTTGCACTGGAATGTAAATTTGATGAAGCTGGGTGTGTATCCTGTATTCGTTTACTTCCCCAAACATTCCACAGCCTCTCATAGAGTTTAGAAATTGGATGCAGCTGAAGCAACTAGAGTAGGGGGTAGATGTCTACCTTGCACCAACAGATCAGCCTGTTGCTCTAATTCTTCTCTGTTGATATGAACCTTCCCTGCCAATACGAAGCATAAAAGTTCTGTGTGAAATGGGAGATAGCGTTCTTGAGTTTCATATTATAACATACAGACTATAACATGGGTGACTGGTGCCTCCTGAGACTGGGGGGACACAGTTTGTGGGCAGCAGCATCGGCGGTGGGGTGGTGAGTGGCAAATGCCTGCAGAAGCAGCAGTGGCAGCCAATCTCAGGGCAGGGGGCATGTGCCCCCACTACCAGTCGCCTATGGATTACAGTAATTTTTAAATACGTAACCTGGTTAAAAATTTTATTCTGCTTTACTTTACAAATCACTTTTGACCACACTGTTCCCCTGGCTTGATCAGCAGCAGAATTTGAACCCACTCAGCTTCAGATTCCTGGCTTAGGTCTTTTCTATTTAAATTACAGGTGTAAATGCTCCTTTCTAGACTAGAGACGTATCTGACATATGCTTTTTCAGTGGCTTATGCAATTGTTGACTAGTCAGCTTCAGCATAGTGGATTCTGTCCCTGGCTCTGAAGAATGAATATGGCTCATAGGGGCTTTGAAGTAGGATGACTAAAATGGTTTAGTCATTCTGAGTGACAGAACAGTGCAAAGAGTAAGAGTGGGTCTTGGGATGTCAAAGACCTGGATGGTAGGGACTTTGGATAAGTTCTCTGCTCACTCCTAAAGATGGCTGGATTGTGGTCACTAGCATTTCCATAGCTATCTTCTAGGCTAGGGGTGTCAAACATATGGCCTATGAGCTGAGTCTGGCCCATGGAGCCATGCGCACTGGCCTGCAGGTCTCAGACCAACTGGTGTGCAGAGCCAGTCTGGCATGCAGGTTGCGCGCAGTGCCACAGGCACTGCATGCGACCCAGAGGGCCAGCACAAGGTGCACACTGCATGTGGCGCCCATGCCAGACCAACTCTAAGTGCCAGCTCTGGAGCCAGTCCAGACTGAGCTGCACCAAGGCCAGTGCACAAGGCTCATCCAGCAGGACTGGGTGCTGCATGCAGTGCATGCCTCATGCTGGCCCCTGTGCCATGTATACTACTTGACGAGCTGGGTCCAGCTCACACACCACATGTAGCACACACCAGCCCTGCCCTGCAGTGGCACCTGGAGCCAGCCCAGGGCATATGCTGCATGCGACACCCTGCTGGACTGATCCAGGTCAGCCCCGCAGCCAGTGTGCAGGGAAGTCTAGTGGAGCACTGCATGCAGTGCACTCCCTGTGCTGGCCTTGTGTGTCGTAGGCAGACCCCACAACACTGGGTCCAACCTGTGTGCCACCTGCAGCACAAAGTCTGGAGTGGGGCTGGCACGGGAAGCACACTGCACACAGTGTCCCATTAAACTGGCTCTGCATGCTGGATCCAACACAGCCCAATCTGGCGTGCATACCAGCCCAAAGACCCTCATCTGTCCTGAGGGGCTGGATGAGTTTGATACCTTTATCTAGGCTGAAGTTCTTGGCTTTATCTGATTAAGTAACCTTATTACTAAATGAGAATGTATATATTGTATTTAGAAGACAAGAAATGTGAAAACTTGGTCTCCTCATTACCATCAGAGGGAACTTTGTTGCACAAACAAGTCTGTCTGTCTCTGATATTAACAATATTCTCATCACAGCACACTTTTGTCATCAAATTAGAATTTGACAATTTCAGATTAATGCACACGGATTTATTTACTCCCATCTTAAAAGTCCTGTTTAAAAATGTATGTGCATTTGTGCACGTATGTGTATTATATATATTTCCATGTGTGTAATATATAAATTATGTGCGCGTCTCCTGTTTGCTTATGTAAAGGTGGTATTTCATGAAGCTTATGTTATATGCAAATTTAGACTGTATCTGTAATTGTATTATGTGGCTACTGGAGTACAAAAGAAAAGAGAGGTATTTCCCAGGAAACCTAGTACTCTAAAGTTCTGGACAGCTATTTTTTAAACAGATTATTAGACTGTCCACTGTAATCTGTACTCAGTCATAGGCTGTAATTTATTTATCATTGAAATTTAGGTACACCAGTGATTCATTCTTTCCCCTGTCCAAAATGGACTAATATGGGGACTATATCTTTAGTGCTAATTTAATGTTTTAGCTGCTGCTGCTGCCATATAATAGTTGGACATGAAGCAGTAGGGATTCTTTTGATAACAGAGGGATGTTTCATCTTTCTATTTGACTGTTATGTTATTGTGAAAGATGGTCTGTGGCTTAGGTATCTGTGCCAGGACACAGAAATATCTGTATAAATAAATTATAGTCTTGGATTTGGGAATTAGGACTA